AAAAAAAAAAATCTTTATTTTGCATTCTTATATAGTTTGCTATAATTTATTATTTACACAAAATCTCTGATATCTGATATAATATACATAATACTACATACTGTTTTGGTATTGTCAAGAAAATTTTTTTGAACTATTACATTTAAAAATAATTAATCAAAAAATTAATTAATGAACACTTATTCTATCAAATGTATATTGTCTATATTTAATATAAAGCTGCTATTTATGTTTATTTGGTCATGTATATTTATATATGTTTATTTGTTCAATTTGAATTGCATTAATTAAAAGAAAATCTCAATATATAATAATTACAAAGTATCCTTATTGTATATTATTATTTAATATATACTTACCAATTTTTTCTGTTTCTGAAAGTTGTACATTTGTTTTTTCTGATATTTCAGATGATGATTGTTCTATCATTGAATATATATGTAAAAAATAAAATAGAGGAATTTCATTAAAATTTATGAAAACAATAATTATCTATTTGGTTAAATACAACATTCAATTTGTTATTAATATAAAATATGTACAGTACCTGTAGATGAACTCTTCTCACATCGAAGTTTGTTTATAAATGAAAGTAAATAATTGTGATCTGACAAAAACAATGAAAAAAAATATATAGCTTACTTGAAATGATATTCAATTTTTTAAAATCTTACCTTCCGACATCATTTTTCCAGTTTTTTCATCTACCACAAAGTTATAACTTTTTCCATCCACAGTAACGTGTGTGAGATCCGAAAGGCCCTGGGTCTAATTTATGAATTTTTATTGATAATATTAAATTATCGACACAAAATATTACTTCATTTTTGTGAAAAACTAGTGTTTTAGACGTGGGAAAAACCAGATAACAGATGTTACTTCCTTTCACAAGAGAGAACATCCTCTGACTTTCCCTTATCTGGTTAAAAATCTCGCTCAGATGGGAAATGGTTACCCCTCATTCATCCCCCCTTCATCCGTTCTCACGAAAGAGTTACTGGCCGTTGATTGGTCGAAATTCAGGAGATATAAGGGAAATTAGTCCAAATTTGAGGAGTTCTTCGACAGATCCGAAGCGTCAAAACTCCACGCAGTTCTCCTCCTGATGACCAACGCCCTTAACGGAGTCCCATAGACTAAGTCCCAAGTCTACACGTAGAAGTGATACTTTTATATTTTGTGCACGTATTGATCTCCCTTACGAAAGTAATATGAACTCTATCTACAAGGTGTCCCTTACCTACAGGGAAGAAGACGACGACAACTAAACAGGTCGTATGTTTTGGAAAGATTTTGTGAGCTCTCTCTCTCGATCGCGCAGTAGCATAGAATAGGTCTTAGCCTATAGCTTGTCGCTTCATTGTCGTTCACCGATTATTTGTATTCGTTTTGTTTTAGAATTATTAAATTTACTCTTGTTAAATATACTTAAATGTCTCCTCAATTGATTCCGAATCAGATCGCAAACACGTGTTAATCCGCGTATAATATTAACTGATATGCTGATGAACGCGTATAATATTAATGATTAACTGGTGTCAAGGAATCCTGATGAGCATCTGAACTTCGCCGTTCGGATCATATAGCGATTATCGCCCTCCTATAAAAAGTTTAGAGAGCCGATCACACGATCGTGTGCCAGTAAGTAATATAAGTAATTTACTTATACCCTTGGTAACTCACACGTGCATCTCCATGGTTGCCATTTTTCGTTCAAATGTCGCTCCAATTACCCACAATTCATTGTAAAGTAGCAGTCAACATATCCGTTGAGTGCTGAGTGTGTTGAGTCAGCGCTGACAACAGCGCTACCTCAACATTGAAAAAAGGAACAAATTTTAACGAGCGTTGAGATCAGCGCTGAAAATTGGAATGTCCCGAATGCAAAAGCATTAAGAATCGGGCTCTGAATTCTCTCTTCTCTGGCTCTCATTACGGTTTAAACTCCTATGAACTGCTAATTACAATTATTTTGTTTATTTGATGTAAGTAGAAAATACTTTTAATAATTATTTTCTTTACATTACAAANATGACACTACGCGCGTTGGTGTCGTTAACAGCGGGGAGTGGC